GCACAGGCGATGGTGATCTGTGCTGCACCGAGCGGGCAGTGGAAGGCAACGCCACGGCCACAGGCATCAGACAGCCCCGCTCCTCCGCCTGCTCAGCTCCTTGCAAAGCCTCAGGCTGCTGCTTGGGTCAGGAAACCAGTCCTTGCTTTGCAAAGGCTTTGTGCGGCCCCTCTGGCCAGGGCTCCCCAGGGACCCGCGCACACAGGCTCCAGCTCATTGACATGAACGGCTTTGCACCTCCCGGAGCAGGGGAGTAAATCCAGACCAAATTATCGCAGCCAAGCAACGAAGGGGCAAGAGGAACAGCAAGATGGGAGTTCCTCACGTTCATATGCTGAATCACGCTTGGACTAAACTAGGCTGATTCAGGAGCGGGTAAATGTTTAACCGCAACTCTGTGCATCTGAGGAAGAGCCTGCCCGCATTCAGGGATCGCAACCAAGCTTCTCTGCCTACCCATACCCCAGGACAGGCATCCCCCCGGAAGGGATGGCCTCACCCACCTTGCTGCTGCGACAGCGTGAGCGGTGGGAAGGGTACGGCTGGTGGGCAGCACACCCCGTGAGGATTACACACCCGTCCTTCTCCCTGCTCATGGCTGTGAGGCAGGGAGAAGGCTGGCTTCTGCAAGGAAGGGGCTCCGTGGACACTCCTGCCAGGGTGAAGGTGCCACTGAGCTGCCATACGCCAAACAAAAAAGCTTAAATTAATTAACAGAGGTCTGCAAATCCTTAGTGGCTAGAATAATAAGCAAGAACTTTTCATAAAACAAGGAACGCTAGATTCAAGCATCAGCTTTCACACCTTGATGCAAACAAAAACTGGCTTTAAACAAAAGTTACTGCATTGAAAAGTCAGGCAATGTTTGCTTTTATTATAAATTAACTGGAGCGCAGCGCCTTGCAAAAACAACCTTGCCACCCAAGAAAGCAGAGCTGGCTGCTGCTACTACAGGAACACCGGTTATTTACAGCACTAGCACAGGACGCGCTTGGGGAAAACAGACGTGCCCTCCAGACAGAGCAGTCCCTTCATCACTCTCGCAGGGGCGATCAGTTCAAAGGACAACTCCCACGCCACCGCCTCTTCCCATCGCCCAGAACTCTACCAAAATCAGTATCAACAATAGAAAAGTATAATGCTTTGTAATAAATTAACATATACACCCTCTCGGGCCGCATCTTACAAGATAAACGCTCTGTCATGTTTACAACCAAATGTTCGCTCCCAGCTCGGAAACCAGAAAGATGTCATCCTGACCAGGTCCACTGGGCTCATCTGACACACGGACTGGAAGGTCAGTCAGTCTTTTCACCACACTGGGGTCCCCGAAATGCTGGGCCTGGGGAGCACTGCCGTCGGCTGTCGCTCACTGCTGCGCACAGAGGTGGGAAGGGGCCACTGAGGTAGCATCCCCGTGCCAGCCCGCTAGGACAAACTCTCGTGTGGAAGTGCCCATGAAAGAGGTGCCTGCTGCCTCCTACGTCAATGGTTTTGTCTGCTTTGCTTCAGCTGATTTATTCCTGAGAAACTTCTAACGATAGCTTAAAAAACCCAGAAACTATCTTGACAGCAAAAAAAGGTGGGTTTTATTTTGTTTTGTTTTTAAAAAGAAGTATTTCACCTCTTAAAACTCAAGCTGCAAAAATCAGAACTAGAGGCCAAAACAAGAGCAACTACTCTGCTTGACAGCAACAATTTCTCTGAAATGAGTAAATGCCAGAGAAGGGAAACATCTGCCCCTGCTAAATAAGCGCGAAGGTGCTGAAAAAATGAAGTCACTAGGCTTTTCCCCCCCCTGCTGAAACAAGCTCTAAAAGGGGCGTCATGTCTCTAAACCCAATAAAACGCAATGCTGCTCCTGTTAATGCATGGGCTTTCTGAAAGCTTTCCACCTGGTTTAGTTTCACAGTTTGAGCACTCTGCGCTCCTCAGGAAGGAGAACAGAGGCATAGCTGCAGTAAAATCCCTCCTACCCCGGGATACAAGCCGACCAAGGCAAGGCGATGGTTCAGTCAAAGAGCAATTCAGACCCTGCCTTTTCCCACCGCTCCCGATTCACGATGACCCAGGCCTGTGCGTGAAGGGGAACGCTAGGACGCTCGTTCCCTCCCAGAGGATGACAAGTGGCTGTGGGTCACCTCCTGCTACCCTTCTCAGCCTGCTCCAGGTGTTCTCCTGCCCCCAGAGTTACACCGAAGCAGCCCCGAGCAACACGACTCCAGTGCGAAACACCACCCGCCCACAAGAGAGCCCTCTCCTCTCCAAACGCTACCTACGCAGCGACCTTATGAAGAAAATGCAGTCAAATAATAGAACTTGTAAAACAAAAGAAACCACAAATATAATCTCACGTCTAGAGGAGGATGACAGGTGAAGGGTGTGGGAAAAAAAAAAAACAAACCCAAAAACCAACAGAGCTGCCACCAGGTATGAAATACATTCCACAGCACCGACAGTTCGCCTCCTGGATCCGCCTACAAGTAGCGGAGCGCTTACAAACCCACAAACGTCAAAACGCATCAGCTTGAGTGATTCCCAAATGCCTGTTAGCGAGATGACGGGCAAGAGCGTACTCGGTGATCTGGGTTTCCAGTGAATATTACTAACACAACACACGCCAGGTTACAGAATCTATTGCTTAAATTGCTCTTGGAGGGAAAAAAAAAAAAAAAAAAAAAAAAAAAAGCCAAGTGATATGTAAATCTTCGCCACTCACATCTCACGGGTGAATGGGCTTTTAAAGTCTAGTCTCTTTTTGCACGTTTTTTTTTTTTAAATCAGTTTATGAGCAGCTGTAGTCTTGTGGCTTGATGCAACTCTTTAAGGCTCCATGCTGACAAAATTATTTGAGGAACAATAAAAACTTCACCACAGGAGGATCGCTCTGGGATGTCAAGGTTTAAACTCATGGTTCAGGCCCAGGACTTGCACAGATGGTTCAACAAACCGAGCGTCCCATATTTCTACCTTTTGTGTCTTGTTTTGGCCCTGAGCTGTTTGTTACTCCTGCGTGTCTGGCACAAGTTCCGAATCTTCCTCGTTCCTCAGGAGGAACAAGGTGTTTTACTCTTCACAGAGGCTGACGAACCGATCTTCCTACTTCCATGCTAAGTGGCTGTGCATTTTTTTCTGTTTCTAGTAACTCATCGAAGATATCCCTAGAACAGAGGGAAAGACCAACAGTGAAACTTATGTAATCCACAAACGCAAGCGTCACAGGTCCTGGCAGAGAAAGGTGCCTTATCTGGCATCTCTAAGCAAGGCTTCTTGAATCCCACAGCACTTTTTTTTCATGTATTACAATGAATAAGGTCAGTGGTAAGCCTCAGAGAACAGTAACAATAGTGAAAGTAACTCCGGGCTGGTAAAAGGATCAGAAGCAACACAGGACACGGTCTGTAGATGAAGTAATATCCTTTATTGGAACAACCGGTAAAGACAGAAGAAGGGGACAAACTGAGGCACAAAACCCCTTCTTCAGTTCCATGTGCCTGAAAAGGTATCACTTCTACCTACAAACTTCATCTTGTCTGTGTCCTGAGATGACCACAGCTGCAACATCACAACTGCTAGGAGCAGGGATAAGGGCATTTACAAATATCACAGCACTTAAGGAAAAAAACCCCAAGCTGCATTATGATTCCTGGCACAATGGACACATAGCTGAGACAGTGAACCCCCTTCTTAAAAGATGATTTAATGCATCTTGTTAAAACCCTGCGTATTAGTGACATACAATTCCATGCCTCTGAACCCAGAGCACTTTAATTTTGTCATTCCTCCATATAATTCTGACGAAGAGAAGCCCACTTCCTCACAAACAGCAGGTAATCACTTGCACCAAAGTTCCCCAAGACACCTACTTGTGCATGTAGAAGAAGATGTAGCCACTTCGGTCTCTGTCACACTGAACGGTGGCCTCTAGAGTTCTAGACACTTCCAGGTCATTGTAGGT